TTTGAAATGCAATTACAAAGGAGTATGTAATTTCTTATAACAATGATAAATAAATGAATGAGATTTGTAAAATAAGAAAAAGGGCTATATAAAACAAAAATTTCTAAGCCAGGGGCTAAGGACAATTAATTGAATTGAATATGGGCGTTTTGCAACTTGACCCATTAAAATACATTCACACTTTGGATTCTAGTTATACAAAAATTTCCCACATAGCATCACAAAAGATCCAAATATTTTAGTTGAAAATTAATTTAACCATAAATTCCCTCAAAAATATATATTATTCTGGTATTTAAGCGACATTTTAATGGTCTTAACCACATTTTCAACCACAAGGATCACTCATTCACTATTTTTAAAGTTTCTGAAATCAGGCACAACTGACTGTAGTCCAAATTCTACGAATTTTAAAGACACACAATAAGGACACAACTGAAGAGTTTCTCATGATGTAGGGTACAGAAAGTTCCTTGCTTAATAATTTATTTATGTGCTACATCAAAACATGGAAGATATGCATAATCTCAAAATACTGGTCTGAGGTTACATAAAAGCTGAGCCAATCCACGTATATATAATTTCGCTAGTTTTAGAAGTTGGCCAAAATTTCCAACCGATTCAGATGTCCTTTGATAAATGCGGTTGGGAGTTCTTTTGGTAAAAAAAAAAAAAAAACGATATAGATGATCAACTATTGGGTATAGACCCCATATGACGGTTCCACCAGATCCCTGCTTAAAACTAGCATTATAGGTAATTTCGTATGATTGAAGATAACAACGCCTCCAGATGTTTCCTAAGCTAGAATTTCAATAGCAGTCATGGCCAAATACAACCTTCATGCATATGCATTTGCCGATTTTTTAATGACCCAGCCCCATTTTTCAGACGAATTTTAAGGGTAGAACACCATTACCAGAAATGCATCAAGTTTCGGAATACGTTAACCACACCGCTTCAATTCAGAATTAAATTTGTATTATTTTTCTTAATTTAAAATTTTCAAACATTTAAATTAGTATACTAAAGAGCAGTGAAATAGTGGCAATAAGACAAATTCCTGAAAACAAAGCACAAATTCGCCAAGATTATTCAAATTAACTAAAATCGGAGAGAGCATATAGGGTAAGTGTGCCTAAGTTCGGCATGTCCCAGTAGTCGGCACTTTTTATTTTTAATAATATATAACTAAATATAACTGAATGTATTTTTTTTTACTTCAAAAATATTGTCAGCTATCTATGTGCACAATTTCGCTAAGAAAAGATGAATTATTCTAATAAAAATTAATTTTTTGTCTGTGAAGGTCCTCAACAATTCATATTCTTAAGAAAAGTACAATAAAGACGTCGAATCAGTATAACTAAACAAAAATATTATATTTTAATGAATTAATTTATTATTATTATTAATTATTCTTACAAAAAAATTGGTATGCCGACTGTTGGAAAATGCCATATCGACAATTGGCAAGTGGTGCCGACTACTGGCAAAAAAACATTGTTTTAATAAAACTACAAATTTATGAAATTTAATAAAAAGTTATTAAAACTTTATTTATTATTGCAAAAACTATACAAAATTTTTTAATCCGAATAAATTAACTATGTAATAATTGAAATGTTCCACTCAGAATGGTGAGCGATTAAAAACGCGAAAATCCTAAAAGTGCCGACTACTGGTACACTTACCCTATGTACAAACTCTTTTTCAGAAAAAAAAAAAACAGGGAAGCTGATGAAGTTTAGGGCTCTTTTTGAAAACAAATTTATTCCCGTTCTAACCCCTTTTAAAATTGCTATTTTTCGCTGCTAATGGAAAACAGTTGTTAAAAAAACGACAATAATGGTATTAAGACTGACTAGTTTGCAATAAAAAAATCACAAAAAAAAAATCACAAAATCACCAAATGATGGACATATATTGTTTTTTTTTTCTGGGAGGAGTTAAACTACCCACTGAGAATCCGAAATGTCAAATTATAGCCTGTTTTTGGAAAGTGGGCAAAAAATGCACAAATTGAACTTACATTGAAGATAGTAGTAAATCTACCCAAAGAATCTCCGAAACAGCATCTTATGACTGCCTTTAGAGAGAAACCTTTCAAATACCGAAAATCAGGTGGTACCGCCACATGGAGTAGGACCGACACATTCTATTTTCAATACCAAATAATCTGGGAACAATATCTGTGCACAATTTCAAGGCTCTATCTTTAATATTCTATAGTGTTTTCAATAAACAGATTAGCATGCCTAAATCAACATAGAATTCGAAGAATATTTTGTAGTGTGGAAAATGTGGGTGTAAATATTTTTTCTCTTTCATAAATAACAAGTTAAAAAGCAGTAAATCGGCCGGGCCAAACTTTGAATACACTCCACATTTGAACGAATTTGGAAATTTTCAAAAAATAAAATCCGTTAAAAATTCTATTAAAATCTTAAAAATACCGAATATAGGCATTATATTGGAGTCTATACGACGTGGACCTACATAGGCATTGTTGTCATAAGCCTAAAATTCGAAACTTGAAATTAACGGTGAATGATGTAGATAAAAACTTGAAAATACTGTACATAGGGTGGTACCGTTACATCGGAGCTCTACGAAGACCTGTACTTGCAAAGACAATTTCCTGTTACAGACTGTAGCATCAATTACGAGCTTCAAATACGACATCTCAAACAATTTAGGTGAGTATTGTACCTAAAAACGTCAAAATACGGAATATAGGGAGGTACTGATATATGGGGCCTATACGAATACCTGGACCTGCATAGATAACTTTCTGTCATAGGCTGTAGAATCTATTACGAACTTCAAAGTCCAAATTTGAAACAATTTCGATAAATAATGTCGCTACAATCATCAAAGTTCCGAATATCGGGAGGTACCGTTATATGGGGGCTATACGAAGACGTGGACCTGCACAGACAATTTTCTGTCTTAGGCTGTAGTATCCGTTACGAACTTTAAATACCAATAGTTGTGTCTTTCTTTTGTGGAAGACAAAAATCGAAAAATCCAAATGTCGACTTTTTTCAACTTTAAAACCTAATTTTGAACGACAGAGAATATGAAATGCGTATAAAAGTTGGTGTAGTACCCACATTTTTTAATAAATCCAGAATCTTTCAATGATTTGCATTTAACTATAAATGATTTAAGATAAGTCACAGATAATCGATTGACTGTCTGTCCAAATATATATTTTGTACATTTTTAAAATTTTGAATTTTAAATTGGGATACGCTCTTACTTCCGATATAAAAAATTCTTAAATTCGTGTCAACTTCCGACTCAACTATAAATACTTCCTTCGACTCGTTTATAAGGACTCCCTTCGACTCGTCTATAAAGACTCCCTTCGACTCGTCTATAAAGACTCCCTTCGACTCGTCTATAAAGACTCCTTCGACTCGTCTATAAAAACTCCTTCGACTCGTATATTAAAACTCCCTTCGACTCTATAAAAACGGAAAATTCCCATAGTCGATTTCTACTAACTAATTTTTGTCTTTTTGAGGTCAAAAATTGATGATGGACAATTTTTTTAATTTTTGCTTTTTTTTAAATCGAAAAATCAAATCGAAATCAAAAATCGAATTTGTTTGGTAAAGTAGGTCATTTCTTAAACGAGCCAAAAAATACTCAAGACGAGAAATCTGTGTTTAATTATGATTTTTTATACTTTTAATAATATTTTATTTGCGATTTTCGCCCTAAAGTCGACTTTTCGTAACATATTTTCGCCTTTGAGATCAAAACATTTTGATCGAATTTCCATTTTCAAACGAGCCAAAAAAATATACGTTTTTATTTTTGATTTTTTTAATTTTAATTTTAAAAATAAAAATTGTATTTGATTTAAAGAATCCATATCGAAAATCAATTTTTAAGGAACTGGACAAAATCAAAAAATAAAATGAAAAATCAATTTTTTTCTAAAGCGAAAAATTTCAAAATCTAAAATTCGACTTTTATTTCCACCCTCATATTTAACTTAATTGAATCGAATGTGAAATTCATACAAATGTTGGGGTGAAAACCCAATAAAAATTATAAGATAAAATTAAAGCCAAAATCTCTTTAAAAATATTTCTCAATATCTTGGAAACATATTTCCCCCTTTCAATGGAACTCTCCCTCACCATAAACATATTTTAAATATTTCAAACGCACTCTTTTCCCCGAAAAATTTCCAAAATTTCCCTAGAAGCAAATAAAATTCTTTAGCTTATCTTACCCACAAAAACGTTCTTTTTGGAGAGGATTATTATTATCATAATTATTATTATTTCAATGATTTCCACCATTAAATTTTGGCTCTTCTTTGGAATTTGCCGGAAACACTTCATTTACACAGACACTTGCCTTTTGTTCACTTCCTTTGGCCTTGCCTTCCATCCATCGTTCCCCCTGGTTCATTTGTTTTGAAATTATAACGCAAAGAATTTATTTTGATTTTTTGTTTCAATTTTCTTTTTTTCATTTTCTTTAATTTAATTTATGCATTATCACTTTCTTCTTCGTCATCTTCTGCATCATCTTCGACATTTTTTATTTTTTGTTTTTCATTTTCTTATTCTGTTTATTATATTACAAAAATTACAATAAAAACTTAAAAATTAAACTTAAAATAATAGGCAAAGAAATAAAAAAACAGGAACCAGTCCTTATACTTTATACAAAAGAAAATAACTTATTTTAAAAGTGCTGTCCTGCGGTCCTGGGTCGGTCAGTCAGAATGTAAGTGAGTAAATGTTATGGTCAAAGTCTTCCTTGGTTTGTGTATGTGGGGTGAGGGGGGTTGACTGGGAGAGGGTGTATGTATGTTAGTAATTCCTCCTATCTATGTTTCGTCCGTCTGTCTCTCTGTCTCTTTCTAAACTAAAAACTAAGCCATAAAATTAAGTTTTAAAAAAATTCAGTACTTTTTTCATGTTTGTTGTTGTAGTTTTAGGTTTTTTGTTTGTTTGTTAGTGTTAGTAAAAATTTATTTTGCACTATGACTATTAAAATTGGGGAGTTTTATTTTTTCCTCATTTTTTCTTTTAGGGGACACATTTTTGTTGGTTTGTTTGCTGTTGTTGTTGTTTTGCCGTTTTTTTTTTAGTTTAGTGTTAAATAAAAATTTATGGAAATAGAATTACACTAAATACGCCTGCACATGGGGTCCTTGCTGCTGGCCAGGCTGTATTGTTTGGTTGTTGCTGGCCTGCGACGAAGCGGCTAGGGGTGCTGCTGCAGCTGCTGTGGGATTATTGCTGGCTACCATTTGCTGTTGTTGTTGCTGCTGCTGCTGCTGCTGTACATGTTGCAGGGTTTGGGCGCCACTGTGATCACCACTGATAACCCTTTGCTGCTGGTGTTGTTGTTTGGGAATTTGTTGGGGCCGCCATGTTTGCGACATATTTGGATGATGCTGCTGCTGCTGTTGAGGATGATGCATGCTTCGATGCAGACTATTTATGCCCTGCATAACCTGCTGCCCCGATGGTGAAGGCGAGGCTGGTGGCATCATCAACATTTGCTCATTGTCCAGTGTTGAATAGTCCGATTCAATACTGGAATAAATGTGTTCCGAGGGTGGTCGGGTCCAACCCATTGGAACACCACCACCACCCCCGCTGGCATGCTGATGATAATACTGGGCAGCTGTGGTTGTTGCTGCTGCAGCTGCTGCTGTAGTTTGTTGAGCCACTGCATTGGGATGTAGATGGGTGCCGGTCGCCTGCACATGATGTAGAGTACCCGTGTGCTCTGCACCTCTTCGCTGTGGCCTGGGCGAGGGTGTGGCTGTGGTGGCCGATGAATAGTGCTGCTCTCCTTCTCCCTCAGGACAATAGGCGGGAGGAGGGGCAGGCCTATATAAAATACCAGGACTGGCTGGCTGCTTGATACGTTCATGATTATGATCCAGTGTATAGTTATTGCCACTGCGATAATCAACCGGCAGGGCATAGCGTAGCTTTTCCCAAAAATGTCTATCACCTCGTCGTATGTGATGAACAGCCGTGGTCTTCAAATAGGGCAGTAGTTCAATATCATTCTCCGCCTCAAATATGGCCTCTGGCTCTTCGATTAGCACCAATTTTTGGGGCCTTCCCCTTAGCGCATCATGCAGTGCCCGCCTCAGCTCACAGCGAGACCATTCGGTTTGCAGGAAATTCCTTGTCAACAATATCACCACTCGACGCGAGACACGTGATGCCTCCAGAATTTGATAGTGTGTGGCATCGTGGGACAAATCGCGATGTTGCAGGCAAATACGCAGAGGCGGCCGACCCGTCTCCAATTCGGCCACCAAATATTGGCCCACAAACTCGGAATCTTTGGCCGAATGTAGGAGTATGGCATCGTACAGCTTCTCAGACTCTTCGCAGCGTGGCCCAAATACACGCACACCATAATGGGCGAATAGCCAAATACGTAACGACTCACGAAACACAAAAATGATGATGACAACAATGAGAAGGAAGACCAGAGCCAGGGCAGCTGCCAATAATGGTATGTACGTTTTTGGGATGCCATGTTGCAGCATCGAACCGCCAGCATAATAGTCACTGCAGGCGGCTGTGACATTAAAATCCAATTCACGTTTTCGGCTGCCATAGCTGGTAACACCAATGTCACTGCCGCCACTGCTGCCCGGGCTGGCATCTTCCATGCAAAAGATATCCTGGGAATCTTGTACTATCAACGCATTGTCAGCCACATATGAGGTCAACTCTTGCAAAAACTTGCAGCGACATGACCAGTGATTACGCCCCAAGCCAATGGTGCGTAGCGCCCGAAATTGCGGCAGCTGCAATTGCCATATGGGCAGAGTCACCAAACGATTGCCATCCAGGCGTAGCACCTCCAGCGACTGCAGTGGAGCCAGTGTGGCATTCTCAATGGATGTCAACAGGTTGTTGTGCAGGTAGAGCTCACGCAAAGCTGACAAATGCTCAAATTCATAGCCTTGCAACGTTTGCATTAGATTGTCCTCCAAATGCAATATCTGCAGCGAGATGAGGCCGGCAAAGGTGCGATTCTGTATGCTGGCCACACGACTGGCATTCACAAACAATGACTTGAGGTTCTTGCGGCCGATGAAGGCATGATTCTTGAGAACGGGAAAGTTATTGCCATCCAGGTACACGACACTCGAGTCCATGGGTACACGACGCGGCAGTTCCATTGTCTGTTGGCCGCCACAGTCCACCACATTCGTGGACCATATTTGATCATGATAGCATGTGCAATTGTTGGGACATGTCATCTCGCAATCACAGGCATCAAAATCACAGCAATGACACAGGGCAAAGCAGTGCGAGTCATAGCGGCAAAGGAAGTCTTGTGACTTGAGCGAGGCCAATGGCCTTACCGGAGCTCCACGAGCATGGGGCATCACACACTCAATGTTGTGGGAATCCATGACCCGCGGATGTTGTCTGGTGGTCAGGTTGTTGATGCGCTGCAACCAATCCATGGTGCAGTCACACTCGAACGGATTGCCGCCCAAATAAAATTCTGGCAGCGATTTCAATGGACCCACTGGAGCCACACGCAGCTGCTGCAATTGCAACTTGGCCAAGGCATTAGCATACAAATCGACACGAGCCAAATTCACTTTGTCCACAAATGTATTCGGGTGTATGGTTGCAATCAAATTGTTGTTGATAAACAGCAGCTCCACCGTGTTCGGTATGGACATGGGACCAATTTCGGTAATGCGATTGTGACTGGCATCCAAAGTTTTCACACGAATTTCCTCTTGCAATTTGTAGTAATTTCCCAGCGACTCAATGTAATTGCCATGGATATCCAACCATTTGAGATTGGCCGGTATGAAGGCATAATCGAACCAAACCAAATGATTTTCCGACAAATTCAACCACAACAATGACATTAGGGTGGCAAATACACCATTTATGTCGGAGACAAAATTTCGATCCAGCCTTATGGCCTCCAACTCATAGTTTTTATCAAACGAGCCTCGTTCAATGCTCTGTATGCGATTTTTGGCCAAATTCAAAACACTCAAACGTGAGAGATCGGCAAACATGCCCACTGAGATATTGCCAATTTGATTGTCAATCAAACGCAAACCGGTCAGCTGATGTAGATTCTTGAAGCTATCATTGTCGATGGTACGAATTTGATTTTCACCCAAATCCAGGGTTCTCAGCATGCTGAGATCTTGTATGGCACGTGGAACTTCGTTGAGTTGATTGGAGCTCAAATCCAGTTCCTTGAGATCGGAGCAATTTTTGAAGACATTCGATTCAATGACGGAAATGAGATTATTGTTCAGCGTCAGCTTGGAGAGTACATAGAGGCCATTGAAGAGCTTGTCATCCAGGGTGTGTAGACGATTCTCTGCCAAATTCAAGGTGTGCAGGTTGTACAGAGGCAAAAAGGCATCTTCCTCAATGTGGCCAATGGAGTTGTTGCGAAGATTCAGATTTTGCAGGAAATACAATTCCTTGAAGGTGCGATAGTCAATGCGTGTCAAGGCATTGTGGGCCAGGTTTAGTTCAATTAATCTTATCAGTCCTGCAAAGGTGGTGTTGTCAATGTGATTGGAGGTCAATTGGTTGCCGGACAAGTCCACCACCAGTAATTGCTCCAGACGATGAAACAATCCCTTGGGTAGCTCATAGAGTTCATTGTTTTTCAAATGAATTTCCCTTAGCTCCTTGGAGCCGGCAAACAACCCCTCCGGCAGGGTTTCCAAATGGTTGTTACTCAAATTGACAATCCTCAAAGATGACAGGCCAGCCAAGGCTTCTCCAGATAACTCCGAGATATTGTTGTTTTGCAAATTCAAATGCTGCAGACGTCTTAGCCTGGAAATGCCCCATGATTCGGTAATGGATCGCAACTCATTGAAACTGGCATCCAGGGTTTGCAGCTCACTGCCTCCATTACAATTCATGTCGGCAAAACCCAGATTCTCGGCAGCCCTAATGCGATTGCGGGTCAAATTCAAGACTTGTAAATTCCCCACAGGACACAGGAATCCTGGAGGCAGGGCCCTTAAATTGTTATCCGACAAATGCAGCTCCGTCAATTGTTTCAGGCCATTTAAGGAGTCAGGAAACAGTTCCAATGTCTTGCTGGGTCCCCACTCTGAGTTGTGGGTATTGATGACCAAAGTCTTGACAGTATTCAAACCCTCAAAGGCATTGTTGGGTAGCTGCAGAAGTTTGCATGACGTCAGTCTCAGTTCATCCAGTGTCTGTAGTCGAGCAAATGCCGCCTGGGGCAACTGGGATTCGAATAAATACAAATCACTGCATCTTATCTCCAGTTGGCTGAAACCATCAGCACCTTGTAAATCCAATGCCAGCGAACGTTCAATGAGACGTAAATTACACTTAACCGATGTGGTGCCATTGTACTGCCAGGAACACTGATTTGTGGCCGGTTGGGGCAATGTTGATGGTGCCAATTGTTGTTGCTGTTGTTGTTCAGCGGATGTGCCACTGGCCAGAGCAGCTACTTGACCAAGATTTGAAGATGCTGCCACTGCTGCACTAAAATATTCCATGTGCAGTGCCAGCAGCAGAATCGAAGTCCATAGATATCGTTGCAGCAGGCAGCATATCCAATTGCCCATATTGAACGATTTTCTAAAGTCCAGCATGATTTGCCAGATTACTATGGTGGTGGTATTGGTGTTCCCAGGAGTTGTGGAGGAGTAGGGTGGGGATTTTTCTTGCTTTCCGATTTTTTTCGTTTATTTTCTTCACTTTTCAAATTTTTTGGGTTTTTAGAAATTTCAACATTTTTTTCAACATTTTCTTGTGTTACATTAAAGAGGTTTTATGCCTCTTGACTTTGTTTTTGCTATGTGCGTGTGTGTGTACGTAGGTGGGGGACGAGAACTTCACTATAACACACTCTCAAACATTTACACTAGTGTTTGGCCAAATGTTCGGTTTGCAACATTTTCTTCCTGCACAACTTCACTTTTCTCAGAGGCGTTGTTCTCCGAACTTTATATATCACTTGAATTTTTCAATTTCAATATTTTTGTCAAACCAATATATATTTTCTTTATTTTACGGGACTTTTTCACCCAGGCGTTTATTATCCAACGTTCACTTGTTTCGTTTGTATTTTCCTCTTCGTTTCGAATTTCTTCAATTTTAACTTCGTTTAGATTTCTTTTATTTTTTTTCTTCTTTATATTCCGTTTTTCGGTTTTTCACAAATTTTCCCCATTTGTCGTCGTAGTCGTCGTTTGCTGAAGTCGTTTTCTATTACTTTTTCACATTCGTTTTTTCGCTTTTCCTTTTTCTATACACCACTCTGTTGTGTGTTTTGCTTGTATTTGGGGTTCTTTCATGCTTTACACGATGTCGAAGTTGTTAGTTCTACAAACAGAAAAAACCGATTTTTTCATTACTTCCACTCTGGACAAGAAATCAACGAACGTTTTTCAAAACCGAAAAAATTTTGCGCGTCATCACACGTCCGCTCTTTTAGATGCTCGGACTCGAACTGATTTTTGAAAAATTCAAACAAACATCAAGTCCATGCCCATGTGAATGGTTCAGTTCTTGCCACAACTCCAGTGGCAGAGACAACGACTTCGTTGGCAGTGGAAAAATGAGTGTTTGTGTGTCGGTGAGTGTGTTCAATTTACACTCGTTACAACGAAACGACTATGGCTGGCTGACTGAATGGATGGATGGTTGGCTGATGATAGCCACAACAATGGGAAGAGAAATGCACAAAACTACAGAGAGCAGAGAATGAGAGAACTCAAAAATTGAGAGGGAACAAGTCACAAAGTAAACAGCATGAGCAAATTTTTATTTTGGATAAGCAATGAAAACATTTTTTCGTTGAATATAAAAACAATTTGGAAAAAAATATAAAATCACTTTCCATATTTTTCTCATTTTATTAGAATATTTGAAATGATTATATTTCTCAATTTTTTTCCATCCTCCTCAATGCCCTCCCCCAAATTGAGCAAGAGTGGCCCTTTTTACATAGCGGTAAAAACGGAAACTAAACAAGGACCTTTACCTTATCCTTGAGTAAACACACATAAACAGCTCATAGATTCTACCCTCCTCTCTCCATTACTCTCGCTCTCTCTATCCTTTATTTTATATTATCCTTGCAACACAAAATTTAGTAACAAAACCGACCACCAGCACGACAAAAGGCGCTAGTGTAAACAATGAGACAATAAAACATTGAGGGAGAGAGAGGGAGAAAGAGACAAAGAAATTCACACAGAGAGTAAAATACCAGCCTCTCTTGAGTGAAAATTGAATATACTTACTTCTCTTAATTTCTCTCTTCAAGAGAACTTTAATTTTCACAATTTTCCTCAGAAAATACAGCAAACAAAACATTCCACAATTTAAAGAGGCAATGCATAAAATTAAATTGTTTAGAACTTTAAACTGCAATTCTGTTCGATTTCAGATGCAAACAAACACACACACACACACAATTTTTGTGCTCCATATTTACAGATCACAAGTAGCGGCCGCATGGTAGGTGTACCATGCGAAACAACCTGATTTTCAATGCCAATATAACAAGGTGCGGCAAAAGTTGAAAATCTTTGCAGATAATAGCTTTCTCATACAGTTTCATTAACTTAATTAGTCATGGTTTTAAAGCGTTGGTATCCCTTTGCTGTTCAATTTCATACATGGTTGATTATAATGAGCAGTTTTCTTATGGGAGCATAAAATATTGGAACTATTTTGGTCTTGGTAATGTGAAAATGATTTCCGCTGCACCTGAGTTTGGAATTGAAGTGCATTCATTATGTAAAATTAGAATCACAATTAAGACATGGATTTTGAAAATTGCTTGGGAAATATATTAAAAATGTTCTCATATTTGTATTTTGACATAAAGATAAATTAAAATAGTAACGCATACAAAGTCAAGGAAGTGTCCTACCACCTACAATTACGATATCTGAAAATACAGTGAAATATATATAAAATTGTCGCATGGTTCCAAAATTCGAGGGGTAAATCACTAAATCCAAGCAAAATATTGTATATTTTAAGAATATTTTTTCAACATGTTTGAAAATCGAAAATCGAATCTGATCTGTTCCAGTATCTTCAAGAACTTACTAGTCTTGCATTTTTTTTTTGCTATATCATAAAGGAAAATTGGTTATGACCTTGAGAAGACTTAAATGTAAACTCGGATGAATCATACATATGGGAGCTATAACTATATAAATATGAATTGATTTGGGTCGTACTTGACATACTAAATTCCAGTCGAGACCATTTTGTGTGAATCAAAATATTATTCTATGTAGAAGACCAAAATGAACCACCACATAGTGGTAAGGGTAATATGTTCTTGTGCATTTGTTTGTAACATGGAGAAGGAAACGAGAAAGACCCATAGTTCCGTTTGGTAATCAGCATAGAATCACATTTTGAGTCGATTTATGCGTGTTCGTCCGTCCGTCTGTCCATGTATTTTTGTAAACAAAATGCAGGTCTCATTTATTATTCGATTGAGATGAAATTTTCTGAATAACATTTGTTTGGCTCAAGGACGAGCCCTATTGAGATTGGTGAAAATCGGTCCAAAGTTAGATATAGCTCCCATATATATCTTCATACCATTTTAGGTTTCTTGTGCACCAAATGACTAATAACAGTCCAAATGGTGTGAATTTTAGTAATTCAAACCGAATTTAGTATAGAAATAAGTACTTTAAATTTGATGAAAATCGGTTCAGATATTGCTATAGCTCCCATATATATGTTTCATCCGATTTGGTGTTTAAGTCCCTCAAATTTGTAAATGCACGATATAAGAATAATATTTGATTCCCGATATGAGATGCAGCCAAAAACCAGTAAAGAAAGTCTTAAAGTCGGGCGGGGCCGACTTTATGATACCCTACACCACTTTGCTAATTTAGTAGAGCTCCGCATAACAATTAAAAGTTCATACACGCTATGATTATAATTTAAAGTTCAAAGGCTGAATATGCCGAAGGATTTGTATCCCTTAAATTCGTCCTTGAATTACCCATTTGGTGCACAATTAACTTGAAATCGGATAAAGATATATATGGGAGCTATATCCAAATCGGAACCGATCTCGATAAAAATGGGCAAAGATATTTATGAGCTGTATTTGATATATTTCCCTGAATATCGTGGGTATGCACTCGTTGGAGTGCATATTACGGCTGTGGGTAACAAATATGACAAATCGGATGAACAGTATATATGGGAGCTATAGCTATATCTTAACCCATCTTCACCAAATTTGACATACTAGCTTCTATACTCAATTCGGTCGTAAGTGCCAAATTCCATACCATTTGGACAAATATTAGACGCTTGGTGCACAATAAAAGTTAAATCGGACGAAGTTATATATGGGAGCTATATCCAAATCTGAACCGATCTCGATATAATTTAGCAAGGATATTTCTGAGTGATATTTAATATATTTCCCCAAAAAGCGTTGTTACAGAGTGCATATTACGGCTGCGGAGGACAAAAATAGCAAATCGGATGAACAATATATATGGGAGCTATAGCTATATCTGAACCGATTTCGATCAAATTTGGCATACTTATTTTCAGGTCCAATCTGATCGTACATGCAAAATTCCATAATATTCGGACTGATATTACACGTTTGGTGCACAATAAAAAGCAAATCGGGCGAAGATATATATGGGAGCTATATCTAAATTTTGACCGATTATCTCCAATTTCAAACAAATGATTTGTGCAACATTTCATCTGGATAGGACAATAAATACGAACTGTACTTTGTTAACAAAAATACATGGACAGACGGACGGACGGGCATGCATAAATCGACTCAGAATGTGATTCTATGCAGATCATCAAAAAGAACTATGGGTCTATCTCGTTTCCTTTTGCCTGTTACAAACAAATGCACAAAGACATAATACCCTGACCACCTTGTGGTATAGGGTATAAATAGCTGTTTTCAATTTTATGAAGATCGGCTCAGATTTGAATATAGCTCCCATATTATCCGATTTCAGGTTTATTATGCACCAAATACCTAATTCAACCGAGTTTAGCATAGAAGCAAGAATTTCAAATTTTCTCCCATATATATGTTTCATCCGATTTGGCTGTTAAATTTTCCAACTTTCGGAATATGCACTCTACCATAATGTTATTTTGTACCAGAAATGTCATTGAGCTCATTAATTGCAATATAAATCTTTTTATTACGAGAGCTCTACTAATTATACATAGTGGTGTAGGTTATCATATAGTCGGCCCCGCCCGACTTTTGAGCTTTCCTTACTGGTTTTACAGTAATTGCGGAAGACACCGCTAATGTAGGGTCACAACGTATATACCGGGTATAAAAACGTATATACAACGTTTTTATACCCGCCACCATATCCGCTCCATATCAAGTTTGTCATTCCGTTCGTACCACAACAAAATATCTATTCTAGATCTCACAATTCTTGATCAGCATTTACTTTTATATCGAGTTAAACATGTATGTCCGCATGTCCATGCGTCTGTGGAAATTTCTGTAGCTTCCGAACCAAATGAAGTGAATTAATGAAATTTTATCCAGATGTAGAATTTTTCCAATTGGGCCATATAAGTCCACGTTTTGGTATAGCCTCCATATACCATCAAATATAAGTCATTTTGGGTTTTTTAGTCCCAATTTTTAAATAAATTTACTGTAAATTGACAGTTTGTGTTCCCAGTATGTGGAAAATATCCTTGCAGAGAGAACTGCCCATATACGTCACAAGTTTTGGTATTTGCCCCATATATCCATATAACTGAACCTCTGTGTTTTGATGGTTAATTTCACAGTTCCCACCACAATTGTTTCAAATTTGGTATTACGAGTTCTACCTCTTTTTTGTCAGAAAATTGCCTTTATATTTTGATGATTTTAGACACTCTTTTTACTGAAACTATTTAAAAGTTGGATTTTGGAGTTGCTGATAGATACTATCTTTCTTGATAGATAAGTATCTGGATATGGTCAAATTTGCGTATATCTCCCATAAAACTGTACCTAAAGATATTCAGTATTTTGATCATTTATGGCACATTTTTCGACGATATTGTATAAAATCAGGTATTTGGAGTATCTTCCCAAGTGTTCGTTTTTAACGGTGCCCCACGCTATTCAATTGTTGCAATTTTTCCCAAATGCTGAAGAGTATTAAAATTTCGGCACAGTAAAACTTAGATGCTTTTTGTTGGTTTTTTCTTTAATTGATAAAATTATGATTTTTGTGTTTTATTCGTATTTAACAAAAAACTACAAAAATTAACCAACATTAGAAAATCTTATAATGTTCAGAATTAAGATCTTCTTTTTTGTTATCCTAAAAATTTATGATTTTAGACATATGGCGTTTACAGTGGAATATAGAAATAACTAAATAATTGCTAACATGAAACTTAATCTGGAATGCATTCGATAGTGAAACTATTTGTTATGGTATGTGATATAAACCCTTCAACTACCCCACATCCGAAATTGTCTCTCAAATTCTCATACTAAATAAGTAATAAAGCTTAAAAGCACGGTTCTCATATATATTTGATTTATCCGATAACAATCTGTCTATATGCCTTCCACATGCTCTCAAAATGCATTTTTCAACA